GGGGCGCTGCCTCTGGCGCCGTCGGGAGCGAGGAGACGCCCAAGTGTGAGGACCTCAGGGTGGGACAATATCCTCCGGAAAGCCGCGGGTCCCGGGCGCTCAGCAGGACCCGGGGCTGTGGGATGGGGCCCGTGGCCTCTGCTGCGGCTCTAGTGACCAATGAACCCCGGGAGGTGAGGAGGGCTAAGGGGACGGAGGGCCGAGCACCGTGTGCTTTCCCCTGGACCGACCAGAGATTGGCACTTCCTTTTCTGATTGACCCTGTGTTTTTCCGGTGCGCTCGCTTATTCAAGCGCGTACACACACACACACACACACATCCAGCAGGCTTTGTCCCAGACACTAGACATGCAAACACTGATCTCAGAGGCTTCCCTGAAAGCTTGCAGGTGTTGAAGGAGACAAAGGTTACTAGTGGACCAGTGCATATTTCTTATTTGTCATTAACGTTACACACATCACCTCCAGCCATCCTCAGATGGACTGACTGTCAGGCCATTGACTGCTTCACATTGTGATCTTAGACAAACGATTATTATGTGTTTTAAAATAAGAGATCCTCCTAAATATTTTAAAATGTAATATTTGTGTTAATACTTGGTAAGAATTTTATCCAATAGATTTTGAATATGTTCACTGAGACTTTTCAACTCTTAACTCCTTCCAGAAATGCTCTTTGACCCTCCCACTTCCTCTTAACTTCGCCCCCCCCCCCAAAAAAACCCTAGGTAGTCAAATATCTGCTGCTCATATCCTCAGAGGTGTGGGGCTATCCACTGAAGCATAGGTGACTTACCTGGGACCACACCCTTAAAACTATGGCCCTGTAACTTACAAGCCATCAACTGGCAATAGCTCCTCAGTTAAGGATGGGGCCTCTTGAAGGAGCAAATTATTTATGTCTATTGAATTATGAATAAAACATGCTAGTATCAGTGACACAGCTGTTCTGTTTGTTGTTATTTACAGATGACCAGTATGAATTAGGAGCAAGTGAATTGTCCAATACAACACCATTAAACTAGAGGAACAAGGTGAAATGTGTATTACTGACACAATGCCCAAACATTTGTATACGGATACTCAAACCTGCAGAAGCAAGAAAGATTAAGAGAAATGCTAAAATTAAGTAAATTCTGTAACATCTTATGCAAATTGAGGAGAGGTGTCCATTAGATTTTCACAGAGTACCTCATAATTTGCTAAAACCAATAATAGGCATGGAGTTTCTGACATACTGAGTTTAGCATTATCTTAGGAATAACACGAGTGTCCTTCTAAGAAGTAACCGAGCTAACTATGAACTGTTGAACCCCAGTGAGAAGCCAGTAGAACTCTGAGATGATGACAACTGCACATTGTCTTAATGGCCTAACTAAAGATGAAATTTCCAGTATCGATTTAGAAGTCCTAAATGAGTGTCAAGCTGTGACAGAGACGTCTTGTATGTACCATACCTACTCCATTGGGATGTGAATCATAAAATCTTAAGAAAATAAAACTTAAAACTATTCTTACTGTTTTAGCATCTATTAGAGGGGTTTTTTTAGAAACTTAAAAATCCTACTGGAGTCACTGACCACACAGAAAACAGCCACCTTCCTATAGTCACATACAAAGTGCCCAAGGCTTGGAATCGGGATACCTGATTTTGCTACCTGTCATTTACATGACTCAAAGTTTGAACCTCAGCTGAGCTTTTATGGCATAGGAATAACAAATGGTATCCTCCTTGCCTATTTGTGTTACATGAAATTAAGTGTGAATTGGTTGAATCTAGAATCCCTGGAACCTGATTTTCTTTTAAACTTAAAATAATTTGGTAAAGATTTTTATTCTATTTATTTATTCGTTCATTTATTTTGGTTTTCAAGACAGGGTTTCTCTGGGTATCCCTGGCTATCCTGGAACTCACAGAGATCCACCTGCCTCTGCCCCTCTGAGTGATGGGATTAAAGAAAGACATGAGCCCCTCCCTCTACCCATGGGCAAGATTTTTAATTTTATTGTTGCTTTGTTTTTATTCCTTAATTGAACTAGAACTTTTGATACAAATTTATTTTATATGAGTTTCCTATAATTTAATTTTCATCTCTTATCTAAGCAACACTAAGAGTGTATTTAGGTTTGTTTTATTTTGCAATAGGTTCTCCCTTCATACCCCTGGCTGTCCTGGAACTCACTCTGTAGACCAGGCTGGCCTTGAGCTCACAGAGATCCATATGCCTTTGCCTCCCAAATGCTGGGATTAAAGGCATGTACCATCCATACCAGGTTTAACAGTGAATTTGTATCTGAATTTGTTGACTAGTACAAACTCAGAGTCTCTCTGTACATGTGAATTGACAAGAGTTATGAGGCACTTAAAACATAGTATTTTATGCTAGAAATATAATTCCAATTTCCTTAACTTTTTAAACATATATTTGTAAAGAACCATTAATAAATGATGCTACGCAAGAACCAGTTAACTGTACAAACTACACAGCTCATGGTAAGATTTCCAGAATCTTGTCTTTAAAATATTTTGTAATATTTTTAGTATTTCAAGGAGCAGTGCATAACCCCTAAGGGTTACTAATAAATGTGTTTTATGTTGTGTTAGACTAATTAAAAATTGTGAATATTCAATTGATTGATTGGTTAATAAACTAATTTTGGTGCTTGGGATTGAACCCAGGGATCCTTGCATGCTCTTCCCAAGTTATACCCAGTGTCACTCTTTAAGTTAAAAAGCAATTTTTCTTAATTACATAAACTGGGATGCTTTCTATTATTATATACTTATTTATTTTAAAACTTTAGAATCTACTTATATAGCTCATGTTTTTTAAGTTTTATTTAAGTTTATCTTTAACTGATATATGAAAATATAACTCTTGTACATATTGTATGATAAAATGTTTTGGGGGATGTGTGTGTGATACTAAAGTCAGGATAAACATATCTATCTCTTTAAATATTTCTAGTGTTTTACTTTCAAGCTTTGTGACAGAAATAGAAATATAGCTCTTTAGTTGGGGTTTTGCTATTGTTTTGTTTCTATCTCTTTTTAAGATAAGTTCTCACTGTGTAAGCTTTAGACTCACAGATATTCCTGCCTCTGCCTCCCCAGTGCTGGGATTAAAGGTGTGCACCACCGTGGTATCTTAGTCACTGTTCTGTTGCTGTGAAGAGTCACCATAACCAAGGCAACTCTTATTGGGGGATTGCTTATAACGTCAGAGGTTTAGTCTATTATTGTCATGGCAAGGAGCATTGCAGCATACATGGCACTGGAGCAGTAGCAGAGAGCTACATTCAGATCCATAGGCAGAGAGCAAGAAATTAGCCCTAGCGTGGGTTTCTGAACCTCAAATCCCACCCCCAGTGATACTTCTTCCAACAAGACCACATCTAATCCTTTTCAAATATATGAGCCTATGGGGGGCATTTTTATTCAAAGTACTACAGGTGCCCAACTAGTTAGGACTTTTATATGTTTCATTTTCTTATTTGAAAATCTAAAAGATTTTTATGTGTATGTCTGACTATCTATATATGTACTGTGTGCATGCAAGAGGCTGTAGCAGTCAAAAGAGAATTGGATCTCCTAGGATCAGAGTTACCAGTGGATGTTGGTGCTGGCAATTGCAATGCACATGTGTAGAGGTGAGGAGACCTTGCAGTAGTCTCTTCTTGCCTTTTACCCTGTTCCCAGGTATCAAGTTCAGGATGATAGGCTTGGCAGCAAGTGTGCTTACTCACTGAGCCTCTGCTCACCCTTGGACATGTTTTTTTTAAATACTGGAAAGAACTTGAAGCTGGACATGGCAGTACACACCTATAACCCCAGCACCAAGGAGGCTGAGACAGGAAGCTCATGAGCTTGAGACCATCATGGTCTGTATAGTGGATTTGAAGCCAGCCTGGGTTCTGTAGTGAGAGAGGAGCGTGAAATGGTTCAGTAATTTACACAGAACCGTATTGCCCATATTATACACATGAAACGTGGACTTTAGTATATCCTACATATAAAAACAGTATGGTAAAGATTTTATATGTGTATCACTTATCAAAAATATGTTAGAGAAGTGATTCTGATAGTGAATAACTCCTCAATCTAATAATTTAGGGGAGCCTCTCTCATTCTAAATATATGTAAATCTAGGTGAAATTTATAGAGTGCTTTCTGTCTTAGTCACTGGTCTATTGCTGTCAGGGGACACCATGACCATGGCAACTCTTATAAAGGAAGCATTTAATTGGGAGCCTGCCTACGTTCTCAGAGTCTTAGTCCATTATCATCATGATAGGGAGCATGGTGACACACAGTCACAGGGTGCTGGAGAAGAAGCTGAGAGTTCTACAATGTAATTGGCAGCAGAAAGAGAGAAGTGGGGCTAGTAGGGGACTAGTAGCCTAACCCAGCACTCCAGAGGCAGAGGCAGGTGGAATTTTGAATTTGAGGCCAGCCTGGTCCACAGAGCAAATTCCAAGACAGCCAGGGCTACACAGAGAAACCCTATCTCGAAAGAACAGAAAAGCGAGAAAAGATCCATAATTAGAATAAAAAACACTGTTTTGTCTCTTGAAGACTTGATTTTAGATAGTCTGCAGACAGAGCTAACAAGGCCATATAATAAGGAACCATTTCCCATGTGTGTTAGTTTTCTGTTACTGTGATAAAATACCTGAGAGGAAAAATTGAAAGGGAGAAAGGTTTCTTTCTGGCTTGTGGTTTCCTAAACATCAATCCATGCCTGGCTGGCTCCATTGCTTTTAGGCTTGTGGTAAGACAGAAACACTATGATGGAAAGGCTTGCTAGGGGAAAATTGTTCATATTTTGGCAGCCAGGAAACAAAGAAAGGACAGGTCAGACTGGAGATAAGAATATTCAAAGCCATGCCCAGTGACCTACGTCCTCTACCAGGTCCTACCCCTTGGAAGCCTATCAGAAATCTGACACTGAGCTTTACATTAAACTGTTGGACTTTGGTTTTGCTTAGATTTGATTGTGACTGTGCCCTGATTCTTCCCCTTGGAGTAAAAAAGTAACTTATATTTGATTTTACTGGGACTTATAGTTGAGATATTTTGGGTATTTTAGATAGACTATTGTTATTTAAAGACGGAATATTTGACACAAGCTAGTCATTTTAAAAGAGGGAATCTTGGTTGAGAAATTGCCCCCACCAGCTTGGCCTGTGGATTTTCTTGATTGATGATGGATGTGGGAAGGCCCAGTTCTCTGTGGGCCATGCAGGGTGAGCAAGCCATGAGCAGCAGCAGTAAGCAACACTCCTCCATGGTCTCTGGATCAGCTCCTTCCTTAGGTTGCTGCCCTGCTTGAGTTTCTGTCCTGACTTCCCTCAGTGGTGGATGGTACTGTAGAACTGTAAGCTGTAACTGTAACCCTTTAACTTCCGAGTTGATTTTTTCCATGGTGTTTTATGACAACAGTAGAAACTCTAAGACAATCTGTGTCTAAGTAAGTGCAGGTGCATTCATGCCACAGCTATGTGGATGGCGATCATAGGGCAGTTTTGTAGCATTGGTTCTAACCTTCTGTCTTTATGTGGCTCTTGAGGCTGGGAATCTGACATCTAAATCAAAGTGTTTACAGAGCCCTGCTCCTCTCAGGCTCTAGAGCACAGTCCTTTTTCCTTTTCCCCCTTCCATAGTTCTGATGGTAGCCAGTGTGGTAGTTTGAAAGAAAATGTCCCCCAAAGGGAGTGGCACTATTAGGAGGCATGGCCTTGTTGAAATAGGTGTGGTCTTGTTGGTGGAAGTGTGTCATTGTGGAGGTGGGCTTTGAGGTCTCATATATACTCAACTCACACCCAACCAGACAGATCACTTCCCGTTGCCTGGAAGACTTAGAACTCTCAGCCACTTCTCCAACACCATGTCTGCACACACACCACCATGTCCCACCATGATGATAATGGACTGAACCTCTGAACTACAAGTGAGACACCCCAATTAAACGTTTTCCTTTGTAAGAGTTGCCATGAGCCAGGCGGTGGTGGCACATGCCTTTAATCTCAGTACTCGGGAGGCAGAAGCAGGTGGATCTCTGTGAGTTTGAGGCCAGCCTGGTCTACAAAGCTACACAGAGAAACCCGTCTCGAAAAACAAAACAAAGCAACCAAACAAAAAGACAATGGGGAAAAAAGAATGTGTAAGAAAAAAAAAATGTTGCCATGGTCATGGTGTCTCTTCACAGCAATAGAAGCCATAACCAAGACAGCCAGTGATTCTTGCTATTCCTTGCCTAGCAGTAGTATCAACTCAATCTTTGCCTCCATCTCCACACAGCATTCTCCCTGTGTGCTTTCACATCCTCCTTTCATCTATCCAGGGTTTTGTTGTTGTTTTATTTTGTTTTTATTTTATTTTATTTTTTTTGAGGCAGGATCTCACTATGTAGGCTTGGCTAGCCTGGACCTCACCGTGTAGACCAGGCTGGTCTTGAACTCACAGAGACCCACCTGCCTCTGCCTCCCCAGTGTGTACCACCATGCCTGCCATTTCCCTTTTTTATATAAAAAGTTAGTACCTACTCTAATAATGTTATCTTAACTTGATAAATCTGCCAAGAAGCTATTTCCAAATGTTTCTTAAGCTAGGCATTGTATCATGTCTTTAATTGAAGTTCTTGGGATTGGGAAGTGGGGAAATGAAGGCTTCAAGGTAAACCTTGGCCACATGCAAGTAGCTTGAGACCAGTCAGGGCTTCATGAGATTTGGTCTCAAACAAACAAATGTGTTGAGTACCTACTATAAGCTACATACTTTATGGTGCATAGTTTTATATATTTAACCACAATGGTCCAATCATGTAGGTGATCTTAGTGTCATTTTTACCTACAAGAAGTTCAAAGGCTGAAAAAGACAAAAATAACGGAGATAAGGTCATCCTTACCAAAGATCTTCTTTACACCATGAGGCTCTAATACTTTTTGAACAGTGTCTGCCTGCCACAAAGTAACATCTGTACTAATTTTTTATATTATGTCTTGGGTTATGAGTGTGGATTGATATTGCTAAATGCTGAAATAACACTGTATTAAGACCTAGAAGGAGTCAAGATACAAACACATTTATGGAATCCATTGTCTACGGTACGGTAGTATCACCAGTTACTTGCCTTGTTGCTGTGTCAAAATGCATGATAAAAATAGATAAAATAAGAGGTTATTTTCTGTCTCAGTGTCAGGAGATACCGTCCATGGTGGCAGAAAAGCTATGACATCAGGAGCAGATCACGTTATATCCATAGTGAGGGAACAGCAATGAATGCTGGTACTCAGCTCACTTTTTCCTTTGTAGTTTAGTCTACAATCCCAGTCTAAGGAATGAATGATATTGCCCCCATTTAGAATGGGTCTTCCCTAACGAAGTTAGCCTTAATTAATAGAACTCCGCAGATATGCACAGATGTTTGCTTCTATGGTGATTAGATCCCCATCCAGTTGGCAGTCAAGATTTGCCATCACAAATGATTAATATAAGCTTGAGATATAAACCATAGATTATGTTAAAATAACTTGATAATTACCAAATGGATTGCCAACAAAAATTCAAGTATTTATCTTAGAGATGAAATTTTTTAAAAAACAGTAATATTTTACAGTTCCTCTTTTGTCATCAGAGGCAAGAGACTGAAGTAGATGGGCCATGCACACAACTAAAACAACACAGTGATACTTATGTTATTATATGAAGAAACCACTATCATTTTTATTTTTCATATAAATGCATTTCATACATATATAAACAATCCTTTAACTTCCAGCCTAAAGTAAAGCCCTTCTGTCTTCTGTTACAATGGGAGGTAGTTTGTTATAATATTAATAGGTTCTTTTGTGCTTTGCCAATTTTGGGGAAAAAATTCACTTTTTCTGTTTTTAGTTCAGTGTTTTCCAGCACCCAACATAATTTGTAAGGATTACAGCGGTAATGAAACACATTTTACTGGAAGTGAAGTTGGTTTTTACAAGCCCATATCTTGCCGAAATGTGTAAGTACATTACTGAAAATCAAAATGTTTCATCTTGATTTCATGGAGTGAAAGATAAAAAGAGACGTGTTAAGGGAAGTCCTACTAGTATAATTCATATCCTCTTGCTTATGTTTGCATACCTCTATTTTAGTTTATAAGTACAATTTGCCAGCCAGGAGCTGGGTCAACTTGTGAGATAGTAAAGGATCAAAGTTGACTCAGGCCTTGTTAAGTGAATTTATGCCATCAAGTGAGTTATGGTTGAGTTCTGTTTTCAAAATTGTAATGCAAATAGTCATTTACTTATTGTAGCAGAAAAACAATATTGTTGATTGTTTGTACAGTGTGTTAGTTACTTTTCTCACTGCTGTGACAAAATATTAGACAAAAGCAACTTAAACAAGAATTTTTTAGCCAACAGCATGAAGGGAACAAGTCAGAATCACAAGGCTAGCACAGTGGCAGAAGCTGGAGGCAGCTGGTCTCACTGTGTTCATAGCCAGGAAGCAGAGAGAGGTAAATGCTGGGCTCGGTTTATCTTCTTTTTATTCAGTCCAGGACCCCAGCCCATGGAATGTGCTGTCCACATTAGAGTGGGTTTTCATACTCCAACCCAGCCTTGGAACTGCTTTATAGACATGGCCAGAGGTTTGTCCCCTGAGTAATTATATATCCTGACAAGTTGACAGTATTAGCCATCACACACTGGTTTCACTTTTTGTAATAGATGAAGAGTAGCATTAGGCAGACAGAATTCAGAAGCTGGGTGAGTGTGGGTTAGTAAAGGAATGGTTTCTATTTAGAGAATATTTTATTTTTTTCTATTAGAAAGCTTACATTCAATTTTTCTGCTATGAACTAATGACATGATTTACTTTTCCTACCTTCTTTCATTTCTGGCATCATATTTATATATTAGAACTGTAAATGGTTGTATTTTATTTGATGGTACATATTTGTAGTCATGTTAAGAAATAACTCATGTTTGGATTTTTCTACAACTTTTTTCAGAATCCTTAGAAAGGATTAGCAAAATAAAAATTGCTGCAAGGAATTGTTTCCTAGCATGTAGGTATCATTTATTCAAATTTCAAATTATATGTTGGTGTTTCTACCTTATTCATTCCAAATAACAGAACAGATTATGTATTAAGTATGGTATGAGAAAAATATGATGGCCCTTAATACCACTAACAAATTCATCTGTTGAAAATGCCAGCTTGCTCAGGTTGGACCTTGTAGTTATGGCCTGTCATGGTAACTATGCTCTGTTAATTTCCAAGTTAGTGTGAATTTTCTTTACAGTGTCTCAGGGTAGATTAGTCTGAGAGAGACTGAGATGTGCTAAATATGGTTATAAGGCATTGATGTCAGTTTTGATAATGAATATAATCATTAGGGAAAACAGACACTCCTTTAGCCAATTTATTCCCCTTTCATAGTAAAATCAACAGACTCCTAAGATAACTTTTTGATGAGCATTGAATCAGAACATGAGATTCCATTAGTGGATATTTTTAGTGTAAGAGTTATACACTTAGCATGTCCTGCTATGTCATATTTCCTTCATCAGGATGCACGGTATGTGTGCAGCAAGAAGCCAGCTGTGAATAGACTCACTTGCACACTCTGTTTGCTGGATATTCCCTTTCCATTGACTTTTTTTTTCCATTCTTGCTAGCATATTTTTTAAAATATATAATATTAATACTCAAACCCACAGCTAAGCACTGAGCTAAATTCCTGGAATCCAGTTGCAGAGAGGGAGGAGTGATGAACAAAGGGGTCAAGACCAGGCTGGGGAAACCCACAGAAACAGCTGACCTGAACAACAGCAAGCTCATGGACTCCAGACTGATAGCTGGGAAACCAGCATAGGACTGTCCCAGACCCCCTGAACATGGGTGTCAGTTAGGAGACCTGGGCAGTCTATGGTGCCTCTGGTAGTGGAACAGTATTTATCCCTGGTGTACGAATGGACATTGGGAGTCCATTCCCCAAAGAGGGATACTCTCTCACCCTAGACACATGAGGGAGAGCCTAGGCCCTGCCCCAAATGATGTGACAGATTATTTGGTGATTTCCCCCCCCCCCCCCACGGAAGGCCTCACCCTTTCTATGGAGCAGAAGAGGGATGGGATGGGGGTCGGTGGGGGCCATGGGAGGATGGGAGGGAGAGGAAACTGGGATTGATATATAAGATTGTTTCTAATTTAAATAAAAATAAAAAAAGAAGCCTGTTCTTTTCTACTAAGAGACAGGCAGGGTGGGGAAGAGAGGGGAGGGGGAACTGGGAGTAGAGGGAGAAACAATAATCAGGATATATTGTATAAAAATAACATCTATTTTTAATTAAAAATGTGAAACAAAAAAATACTCAAATTCCATTTCAGTATTACAGACATAGGGACTCTGTAATACAGATTCCAGAAACTGGAGCCTGGTAACCACATCTATTGATTACTAGTCCATTCAGCTATTTATACTGGTCATTGTATTAGCTGGAGCAGACCAAATTGCTGTCAATTTCAGTAGCTTAGCACAGTAAGAGTTACTTTCATTCATGATATGGTCTAGTTTGTGTTGCCTTAGAGTTCTGGGTTAGGATATAAGTAATTGCTGTTGGTCCCACACAGCCATGCAGGGCCCAGCTTTTCCATGGCTTTGCTTCCTCTAGAGTCCTTTCTATTCAGATAATAGATGAAAGAGAGGAGAGGGGACCCTTTTAAATATATTTTAATCATGAAATCCAGAAGTAGCACATACTTCAGCCTTTTTTCCATTGGCCAAAACACAGTTCTGGCTGCACTCTGTTGCAAGGCCAGCTAGGAAATCTAACAGCTGAAATGGTTTGATGAGTATCTAGGCAGTCTCTGTTCTACCCGGTTGTTTTTCAGCATGGTTTACATACATAGCCAATTGCTTTTGTATTTCCTTCCTTTTACCCACAAAACTTTTTATAATTGTTTCTATAATACTTACTCATCAACTATTAAACATTCTAGGTAGCACCATACTGGAATTTACCAGCAATCCTTACTTCTCTATCAAATGGTATTTATACTCCATATTAAAATCACTCTACAACATTCTGTAGGCAGAGTTTCTTTGTGTCTCAGCAGCTGCTCCCAAATAACCATTCAGAGACTTCTTATTATAAATGCTTGGCCGAAAGCTTAGGCTTGTCTCCAGCCAGCTCTTACAACCTAAATTAACCCATTTCTATTAATCTATGTGCTTCTCTGAGGTTGTTTACCTCTTCTATGAACTTCTCATGTTGCTTCTTTCACGTCTGGGTCGAGACTCCTCAGATTCCATCCTTCTCAGCATTTTCTCTGCCTTGAAAATCCTGCTTAGCTATCAGCCAATGAGCTGATAATACATTTTCACTGAACAAAAGGATTATTCCTCAGCATTGGCTATTTCCTGCTTTTAAAATGTTTCTTTTCTTGGTTCTTCTATAAATTCAAATAAGAATCCTTTTATTACCATGCCTTAGCTCCTTTTTTTTCTTGAGATTTATTCAGTTTTTAATATCTCATTTCTCTCTCTCTCTCTGTCTCTCTCTCTCTCCCTCTCTCTCTCTCTCTCTTCTCTCTCTCTCTCTCTGTGTGTGTGTGTGTGTGTGTGTGTGTGTGTGTGTGTGTGTGTGTGTGTGTGTTGGGAGGAATGTGAACTGTTTAATGTGATCTGGGAATTGAACTTCGGTCCTCTATGAGGGCAGTTGTGTTCTTAACCACTGAGCCCTCTCCATCCACCTTAGCTTCTTTCTTAAATGTTGTATCCCAAACAGTATTCTTTGTTTGTTTATGAAGCAGAATTGGAATTTAATAAGAAAAGGTTTAAGGAAGATTTAAGGAAGGACATGAGGCATGGGGGGGGCATGGTAGTATATGCTTTAGATTAGGCTCAGGCTTCTTGAAAAAGTCCCTGTTTTTGTCCTTGATCTATCCACCATTTACATGTAATCATCTTTATTATGATATCTAAAACAGAACATGATGTCTTTTCCCTCTGATACTTGTCTCAGTGAATGGCAACTAGTCTACCCAGTTTTTTTTGGGGGGGGAATTTATTCTTTACTACTCATATTTACATATCCATCCCCCCCTTTCCTCGCCCTCCCGTCCTCCCATGTTCCCCCCAATCCCCCCAACCCATCCCCAAATGCCTCCCCAGGGATAGTGAGGCCCTCTACAAGGGACCTTCAAAGTCCTTCATATCATTTGGGGGAGGGCCTAGGCCCTCCTTGCTGTATCTGGACTGCAATAGTATCCCTCCATAGGGAATGGGCTCCCAAAGTCCATTTGTGCTCTAGGGATAAAGACTGGCTCCACTGTTAGAGGTCCCATAGACTATCTTGGCCTCCTTACTGGCACTCACATTCAGAGAACTTGGTTCTGTCCAATGCTGTTTCCGCAGCTTTATGACTGGGGTTTCCATGCTCTCATTAGGTCAGGTCAACTGTTTCTGCGGGTGTCTGCAGCACTGTCTTGGCTTCTTTGCTTATCCCTCCTCCCTCTTCTCAATTGGATTCCAGGGTCTACCCAGTTTTTTAAGCATAAGCATTATTCCACTACTTGGTGGGCAGAGGTAGGAGGTTCATAAGTTTGAGGCTAGCCTGCACTATGTAATGTGACCCTATCTCAAACAAACAAACAAACAAAAAACAGAACAAAACAAAAAAACCATAAAACAGAAAATGCAGTCAGAGCTTTAGAGTCATTCTCTCATTTCCCCTTAATTTCCATATTAAGACTAATTGCTTCTGCTTTCTTAGGGTCTACTGTTTCTTTTCTCCTGGTCTCATACTGTGTAGCCAAGGTTGATCTTTGGATCCTGATCCCCTTACTTGCATCTTCCAAATGCTGAGGTGATAGCTGTGTACCACCACATCCACCCTCAATCTCATGAGCCTCATTATTGCCTGTTTGTTTGTAACATAACTGTTTAATTTCTGTCTGTATCCTAGACTTAATTTCCTTAAATCCACACTGTAGTCGCTCTCTTTGGACTTTTTTTGGCCTGCCAGCCCCCATATAATTACACAGATACTTATTAATTATGAAAGCTTGGCTTTTAGCTTAGGCTTGTTCCCAACTAGCTCTTATAACTTAAATTAACCTGTTTCTATTAATCTTGGTTCTGCCACATGGCTTTTTACATCTCCATTCTGTACGTCCAACTTCCTCAGTGTCTCACTGGTGTCTCCTGTGTACCTAGATTCTATCTCTGAGTTCCTCTCTCTGCCTGGAAGTCCTGTTTATTTTCTCCTGACTAGCTATTGGCTATTCAGCTCTTTATTAAACCAATCAGAAGGCGCCTTAGGCAGAGACACATCTTTACAGTGTACAAAAAGATTATCCTACAACATCATACGTTCAGCTGAATTTTATTCAACACTATTTGGATATCTTATGGACAACTCAGACTCACATGTCCAAACTAAATTTTGATTTCCCTTTCAGGAACCATCCATCTGCATTCTTTGCCAACTCCTTTAACTTCCTAATGCTCAGGATAAAATTTGAAGTGCTATCATTGCTTCTCCTTTCTTCCCCTTCCCCTTCCTTCTTTCCTTTCCATACCCTAAATTTAACAGGTAAGAACATTGAAGCCAGGCATTGGTGGCGCACGCCTTTAATCCCAGCACTTGGGAAGCAGAGGCAGGCCGATCTCTGTGAGTTAGAGACCAGCCTGGTCTACAAGAGCTAGTTCCAGGACAGCCTCCAAAAGCCACAGAGAAACCCTGTCTTGGAAAAAACAAGAAAACAAAACAAAAAACAAAAAAGTAAAAAAGAAAATTGAACATACTTTTGATCATATACAGAGTCTGATGATTCTCAGCACTTATTTTGCTATTACTCAGTATAGCCATTGTTAATTATCACCTGAGTATTGAAAAGCAATCAAACACTTTGCCCTTGTGCTCAAATTTGAATTTGTTAGCAGATATTCAGCCCTCAGTCTCTATTAACAAAAGAGTGTATACTTTCCATACCACTGTTTTGGGGCTTGGCTGTATTGCTTAATTTGGCTTACAGTTAATAGGTGAGAACCATGTGGAGGCTTAAGTGTGTTTGTGAGAAATAATTTCCCTTTGTATTTTGATGAGATATTCCTGAAAATAACTGCCCTAGGCATCTGCCTTAGAAATCTCAGTTTCAGCTTGAGACTGGAAGTGAATCAAGTTCGGGCCACCTCAGCCTAGGTGCAGTCTGCTGTGAATAGCTTATTGCAGTTGGCCACTGGGTTTGGGGGTTTGTTTTTGATAAGCTTGTGACATTAGTTGACAAATATTCCATTACAATCTGTCTTTAGCATAATAACCACAGTATTTGAAAGTGTAAAGCAGGTCCTATCACACCTTAAAATCCTGTGGTAGCTTCCGTTGTCTCTCAGAGTGAGAGTTGGAGTGCTGGTGGTGCACAGGTGCTGCAATGCACCCTCCTGTCCCTGCTCACTCACTCTCTCTTCCTAAATCTGCTTCTGCTAATCTGGCCTTAACCCACCCCAGTCCACACAGTGCGCTGCCTGCAGCAGCTGCTTCTTCCCGAAGACTGACACATCTTAAGTGATCCTTAGGTCATTGCTCACATATCACTGTCTCATCACCCAGACTAAGTACCCCCAGAATTCTGGACTTTCTGCGTACCCTGGAATTCTGGATTCGATAAACATCTGCTGCACCTTGTTTGTTTGTTTGTTTGTTTGTTTCATAATATCTGGAACTTTCTACCAAACTGTACAATTAGATTTTTTAATATGTTTCAGTTTTTGTGTACTGCCAGTAAAATGTAAGTCTCTGAGGGACAGGGATCTGTGTTACTTTTATTCATTAATATAACCATAAGCTTATAATAGTGTTAGTTACATAGCCTCCAAAAGACAAGTGGGTGAATGAATGAATGAGCCACTAAACAAATAAGTAATAATGTACAGATTTGTTTTCTAAAATGTTCATATGTTGACAATGTGTGGCTGTGACACTCATGTTTTAATTCTGTGCAGAAATGGCTATTCATACAAAGTGGCAGTTGCATTATCTCTTTTTTTGGGATGGCTGGGAGCTGATCGATTTTACCTCGGATACCCTGCCTTAGGTGAGTATGCTTCATCCAAAAATGGATGAAAGGAATGAAAATCCTTTTTAAAATTTCTTCATGTTCAAGATTCATGTGAATTGAATGGATACATTTTTCTCTGGGTTGAGAGTGTTCAGTTCTGCAGTTCCAGCAGGCAATGTTGGCCTTTCCTGTGTATTCACCTTTTGTAAAAAACATCTGGGGGTGAAGCTCATCACTTGCCTGGAACTGTTGTGCTATGCTAGGTACACAGTGGCTGTACAGTGTTTAAGAGTGTGTGTTCTTTCTCTCCCCGAGTGTCCTCTGCCAGAGTTGTCACTGTTGCCCTGAGAATAGCAACAACTGCTCTCAGGACAGGTTGATGTTTTGGTGATCACCATGAGCTGGGATGAGAGTCTGACTTCATCAGCTGCTAAGACCCTCTCCATCCTTCTGTCCTAGCTGTACATTTCCCTTTTGCCATGGTTTTACTAATGCTTCAGGAATCATTTATGTTTGACCAGAAGTTTTGTTAAACAACATTTTCATATGCTTACCTATATTTAAGCCTTACAACTCTGGGATTAAAGGTATGCACCACTGTGCTCAGCTACTTAAAGCATTTTTAGCATTAAAATTTTCGTAGGCATTTATATTTATTTATTTTGTGTACATTTGTGTTTGTGATAGGTGTGTATATGTTACCCACATGGCACAGTATTTGTATGATATTTCTAAATTTACAATGCTAATGTTATAAGGCATGTTTCCACAACATACCTAGAGGAGTTACTCTGTGAAATACTGGATACAATGACTGAGATCTTTAGAAACTGCTAATGGGAGATTTATCCATTTATTTAACAGATAGTAACCATGTACTAGGTCCAGGCATCCTTAGGATGAAGGAATGAACAAGACACACAGAAGCCCTGTCATAACCAAGCTTCCATCATACAGATATAAAAAGGAAGCCAGGAAGTGTGTGGGAGAAAAATTAAAAGCAATGTTTCTTTACTTTTTGGATTTTAATGGCTGTTATTAAATTACTGCCAAGTGCTACCCCAGTGCATGCAGTATTCTGCCATGTGTCCAGCCCTAAGAAAAAGGAACCGGCTCATGGACATTTATGTACTTGAGGCGTTGTGTATTGAGAAGTGATCTCATCTACTCTTAATAGTTTTGAATTATCTATGTGTAGCTGTATGTGGAGCAGTTATTTTACAAACTTTATTTATTTATTTATTTATTTATTTATTTATTTATTTATTTGGTTTCCCTGTGGCTTTGGAGGCTGTCCTGGAACTAGCTCTTGTCGACCAGGCTGGTCTCGAACTAACAGAGATCTGCCTGCCTCTGCCTCCCGAGTACTGGGATTAAAGGCATGCACCACCTCTGCCCAGCACACATTTTTGTTTGTTTGTTTGTTTGTTTGTTTAATATTTATTTATTATGTATGCTGTATTTTGCCTGCATATATGTCTGCATGCTAGAAGAGGGCACCAGATCTCCATTATTTTATTTTATTATTTTCATTTTACATGTATTTATTTGTGTGTGGAAGGTGCTCAAATGCCAGGGCACCACCCCTGGGAGTCAATTATTTTCTACTATGACATCCTAGAGCTCAATCTCAGTTATCAGACTTGGCTGTAAGCATTTAAAACCGTTGTGTACATGTATGCATATGTGTGTATGTAGCTGCATGTATGTGTTAAACTTTTTGTTGTTGTTGTTTTGAGACAGAGTATCTACAAAGACTTGAAGTTTGCTGTATAGATCAGGTTGGCCTCAGTTTACAGAGATCCTCCTGCCCCTGCCTTCCCAGTGCTAGGATTAAAAGTAAATGCCACCATGCCTGACTTTGTATTTTAAATTTTAAGAAGTTTTATGTGTTTGAGTATTTTGCCTTTGTATGTTCTTGCATCGTGCATTTGCCTGATGCCCACAGAGACAATGAGACAGCATCAGATCACTTGTGACTAGAGCTACAAATGGTTTTGTGCCACTATGTGGGTGCTGGGGATTAAAGCAAAATTCTTTAGAAGAGTAGCCAATGATCTTGGCTAGTGCTCTTGACCACTGAGCAGTCCCTCCAGCCCCCTGTGTATATATATTTGAGACGGTCATGTACCTAAGATGAGGATGACATTGAACTTCTAATTCTGCATCAACCTCCCAAGTGCTGAAACAATAGATAGTGCCATCACTTCCCTATTATGTGGTGCTGGGGATTGAACCCAGAGCATTGTGCATGAAAGGCAAACACTGCCAACATGCCCAGCTCTTAAGTGTTTAAATTTTAGTTTTGAGTTTCTGTACATGCATGCAGACCCTTTATCAAAGCCTTCTCTCAACCCTTCTCCCTCCTGTTAATCCTTTGTTTCCCTAGATGGTTTTATGTTTCCTTTTATGTCATATTATACATGTTGTATATGTATATATATGCAAATATATATGTATGTGTTTAAAATCTAGTAATCACAAGTGAGAGAAGGTATATATTTGCCTTTCTGATTTTGGCTTAATTCACTTAATGCAATTTTCTCTACTTGCATCTATTTTCCTGCAAATGACATGACTTCATTTTTCTTAATGGCTAAAAAAGAAATCCATTACGTATCTATGTCTACCCTTATCTATCTATGTATACATCTTATAGCTTTTTGATTCACTTTTTTGTTGTTGCTGGGTGGATACCTAGGTTGGTTCTACAACTTGATTGTGTGAACAGTGCTTTAGTAACTATGGATATGCAAGTGTCTCTGTGGTGTGTTTACTTGGAGTTCTTTGTATAAATATGCAAGAGTAGTGTAGCTCGGTCACATGGGAGATATGTCGCTAGTTAGTTTTTGGGACCTCTGTACTGACTTCCATAGTGACTGGACTTACTTAACATCCCACTGGCCATGTATAAAGTTTCCCTTTTGTCTGCGTCTTTGCCAGCATTTCTTGTTTCTTTCTCTAATGGCTGCCATTCTTACAGAGGAAAGAGGGAGCCCTAGAGTTGTTTTGATCCATCTTTGTTCATTAGGGAGATTGATCTCTATTTATTATTATGCCTTCATCTGGTTTTGGTGGCAGGGTAATGCTAGCTTTGTAGAAAGAGTGCAGACGTGTTGCTTTGTTTTCTGTTTCATGGAGTAATTTGAGAAAGATTGGCTTTAAGACTTTTTATGTGTATGAATGTTTTGCCTGCATGTATGTATATGTATAGTGAGTATACCAGGTGCCCTTGGAGGTTAGAAGAGGTGGTTAGGTAAGCTAGAACTAGATTTACGAATGGTTGTGAACCACCACATGGGTCTTGAGAACTGAATCTGGGTCGTCTTCAAGAACAATTAGTGCTCTTAACTGCTGATAAAGGGGTGGGGGGGGAAGGTGATCTCAAACTCCTGAAGATCTGTAGGATTAAAAATGTTCACAGCCACTCTTGATTTTTAACTATAGAGCTAAAAAAAGGGGAACTTAAAAAAAAAATCTAGATGGATTATACTATTTGAGTTACTGGTCAAATTTGGAATGTTTTGTTTGTTTGTTTGTTTGTTTTTGTTTTTGTTTTCCTGTGTAATCCTGGCTGTCCTGAACTTACTCTGTAGACCAGACTGAACTCACAAAGCTCTTTCTGCCTCTGCTTCCCAAGTGCTGGGGATCAATGAATGAAATGTGCCACCACTGCCTGGCCAGATTTTGGAATTTTACAAGATCATTATTTTTCTTGAACATTTTTGTGGCTTGACAGTATAGATTTGAACTTCCTATTCTGTTCACTGGGGTGCTGAGGGTCTGTTGTTTGTGATGTTACATTCACTGTGCCTGCTGGACAGACACATGGAGCTCTATCCCAGGCCCGGGTGTGGGTAGATGTAAACATTTATTTTTTAAGAAGTTTTAAAGAGTATGTTGTTTTTTATTTAATTACTTTCTTGTTGTTATACGAGTTACTAAACTATTTTGTGACTTTTTTGTATGAGAGGTTCCTTTAAAATGTTCTTGTATTTGTAGGTGAAGATTTGATTTTTTAAGATTCTACTTGTTATCATCATACTATAGAGTATATAATAGTGTGGTATAAACTAGAGACATTTTAAGTACTTAGACTTTCTAGATTGTAAATTACTTTCCTTTGTGCTTTCCTAGGCTTGCTAAAGTTTTGCACCGTAGGATTTTGTGGAATTGGGAGCCTAATTGATTTCGTTCTTATTTCAATGCAGGTAAGTTAGTTTCGGCCTGGAACCTAAACTACCTTTACAGTCACTATGGTGTTTGGTGGTCCTCTTTTGGTGTGTGTGACATTTCAGATTCATTAGGAAGCAAAGGGGAATGCTTTCCAGCTTGTCTGAAGATGCTGGACCTAAGGGATCTGGTTGCCGATTCAGTAAACATTTCTCAAACTGTAGCTCTAAAAGCCAAATGATGCTTATTCCAAAAGGACTGCATGTCCAAAGGTGACTGTAGATATGGGTTCTAAATGAGTTAGGGATTTCTTTGCTGAAGAATTTCCTGAAATCTTTATAATTTTCTATTTTGTAATGAGTCTCTAAGGCAGGTTACAGTTATATCTCTGATGTAGAATTGATTTGCCTGACAATCAGGATCATCTTGCCAGTTACTAGAATGGGATACATTGATGGGACTCTGGTACACACATGAGCATTCTGGAGGCAGAAGTAAGATTTTCTTTTGAAGTGCATAGGCATGCTGCACAGATTGCACTCTGTGCAAATGACAGAAATGGTACTGGATAAGCAAAGGAGGGTGTGGGTACTCCACGTGATCTCTAGTAGCGGGGATAGCCTCAAGCAAGACCAAGTCCGTAGGAGTTTATGTTCTCTACTCTTGAGATTTCTTCTGTTTCTCTCTGACAGCCTCACCTTCTCATGCTACAGTGGGTTTGGTGACTGACACAGTTTATGAGATGCTGTCCTTAAGCACTTAAAAGTGCCACCAGATGTTCTCCGTTAAATACTAAACTGCTTGTAATTACTGGGGAAGCTTCTTGCATTAGAGGCAAAGTTGAATATTGGCAGACAGCACTTGGGCAAGCATTTGCAGAGCACCTCCTGTCCTCAGTGAGAGTGTCAGTGTTCATTTAAATCATTATGTTTTGCTCTGCCTTCTGGTTCAGCATTGCCACTCTTTGTTTCTGGCTCTTGGTGTTATTGTCATGCTTTAACGCCAAAGTGATTTTGACTCTATTCTGTGAGGAGGGGGCAGCATATGGACAAATAAGATGCAAGAATTAAACAAGGAAGATATTTGAGGTTTTTGTTGTTGTTGTTTTCCTTTTTGTTTTGTGATGCAGGGGTCTCTGAGTTCCAGCCCTGACCATCCTGAAACTTGCTTGGTAGACCAGGCTGGCCTCAAACTCAGAGATCCACCTGCCTCTGCCTCCTGAGCGCTAGGATTAAAGGCATGCACCACCACCACCCAGCAAATATTTGGTTTTGACAGGAGGTGGTCATGCACGCCTTTAATCCCAGCACTCGGGAGGCAGAGGCAAGAGGATTTCTGTGAGTTTGAGGCCAGCCTGGTTTACAAAGCTACACATAGAAACCCTGTCTCAAAAAAACAAAACAAAACAAAACATAAAAAGAGAACGAAACCTGTATCAAAAAGAAAGTGAAAAGACTATCTACATGAGACTACTTATTCTGCTTGCCAAGCATTCAGGAGTCCCTGATTTAAATTCTGCCCTGGTACACAAATAAATAAGCAAAAAAGAAAGAAAAGAGTTTTCAGTCGAATCCCCTCAAATTGATGTTACAGACAAGTCATAAGACACTGTATGGGTGCTAGGAATTGAACCTGGATGCTTTGAAAGAGCAGCCACTGCTTTTAATTGCTAAGTCATCTCTCCAGCCCCACTGTTAGATAAATTTAAAGTAGATATTTATTCAAAGAATGTCACATTTCTAAGAATAACTACAGATCCAAATCATATGGCACCTCAGTGTGTGCCTATTGTGTGTTTAGTTACCTGTGAGTGGGCGGTTGGGTGAGGGGTAGGTATGAGTGTATGCTGTGGGGGAGGCTGTTATTGAGAATTAGACCAAGGGCATCAAGGATAAAGAACAAGAATTTTTCTACAGACCACATCCATGAACATTTTCATGGCCAGGCCAGGCCAAAGGAACCTGTGAGTATTATATCTAAGCCAGGCAAGTTAAAGATCTTGATGGGGGGGGGGGCTGTGTTAGTTTACTTTGTAGCCCCAAATCCAGTGTGATAATCGGCTAAAGAATGCCAGTTGACTCCGAAAGCTTGGAGCTTGGTCTTCCAGAATTTTAAATGTCTGCTACCCTACCAAATGTGTAGTCATTTGTTACAGCAGCTTTAGAAAACAACAGGGTTTGAATTCTGTGGCTTCAGGGCTTTGTAATAAGACATTAATGTGTGTGTGTGTGTGTGTGTGTGTGTGTGTGTGTGTGTGTGTAGGCACATGCCATGGCATACACGTAGAAGTCAGTGGACATTTTTGTGGAATTGGATTTCTTCCTTCATTGTGGGCACCAAGAATTGAACTCAGACTGTCTGGCTAGGCAACAAATACTTTTATTCACTGAGACATCTGGTTGACCCCAAAAGTGCTTCTTTTGGTTTTTCAAGACAGGGTTGCTCTGTGGCTTTTGGAGGCTGTCCTGGAACTAGCTGTTGTAGACCAGGCTGGTCTCGAACTCACAGAAATCCTCTGCCTCTGCCTCCCGAGTGCTGGGATCAAAAGTCTGCGCCACTAACACCTGGCATCCAAAAGTGCTTCTTAGGGTATGATGATCCTCTTATTCACCTACCTATGACAGAGAACTTTGAAGAACTAACATAAGTAGCTTAAGGGAGCTAGGCAGTGGTAGCACACTCCTTTAATCCTAGCACTCAGGAGGAAGAGGCAAGTGGATCTCTATGAATTCAAGGCCAGCCTAAAAAGGAAGATTACCTGGTCTACAGAGTGAGTTTCAGGACAGCCATGGCTACACAGAGAAACCCTGTCTCAAAAAAAAAAAAAAATAGTTTAAGGGAAAATGAATACTATAATATGATTGCCTCATTACATACAACATTGAGCTACATTCCTGTAAACTATAGTGAGTGCTGTCTTCAGTACAGGAAAGGGGAAATGGACCAACACGCTAACATGTAGCATTTTCTTGTACAAGTTAGTGGCTAACATCATATTGTAAAACATCTGTGCTTCATCAACCCCAGATGCCAGTACAGGACTGATCCAGACCCCTGAACATGGATGTCAATGAGGAGGCCTCTGCACTCCGGAGGCCCCTGGTAGTGGATTAGTATTTTTCCCTGGTGTAAGAAGGGACTTTGAGAGCCCATCCCATGTAGAAGGGATTGATATGTGGAACAAGCTTGTTCCTAATTTGAAATATTTTAAAAAACATTAAAAAAAAACATCTGTGCTTAAAATGAGCTGCAGATGGACTTATTAGAAGTGCATGCTATTAAAAAGTCACCCAATCATGTATCACCTTATTTCTAACATTTGTATATTTTTCTTCAATGAGTAAATGTAATTACCAAGAAAAGTAGTACAGGAAGAAAAAGATAATAGAACAAAAGGCTCAGTTCCAGTCTGATCACACATTCCAGCAAGATATGTTTTACAGTGTTCTTTGGCCTCTTTCCACTAGCTGAACTTCACTTTTTTGTTTTCTTAATAATGTCTCAAAATATGTTGTCTTCTAATTGCCCATTTTTCTCTTAACTTAATGTCCCTAGCAATTCTTCATGACCCTGGCCACAAAAAGTCACAGATGCATTAATGTCAGACAAGTTAATTTACTCTTTAGGAATTAAGTCAACATGCACAGCAGCAGCTGACATGGTATCTGGCTATGGAAGTATTAGTTGAATCTACTAGAGGAAGCTCCTTGTTGGCAGGGATGGTATCTTAGTTACTGTTACATACAGAATATCTGGCGTCCTTCTGGAATAGTGTAGAATTAGTATTTGTTGAGTTGTTTTTGTCTTTATGAGAGGGCTGGCCTCAAGTTCTTATGTTCAAGCAATTCAATTCCTGTGTTTTCCTGCCCCAGACTCCACCCCTTAGGTATCTGCAACTGCATCTACCTACTACTGCATCTAGTCATTTTAGTTTTTGACGCTGAATGAACTATTTATGTTTTTTAAAACTAAAGTCCTTTTTGTTTTTATCTTTTAGATTTGTTTATTTTAGGTGTAGGAATATTTCTCTGCATGTATGTATGGTTACCACATGTGTGCCTGGCACTCTCTAATGTTAAATAGGGTGTCAGATCCCTGCGAACTAGAGTTGTGAATGATTGTGAGCCACCCTGAAGGTGCTAGGAACCAAATCCAGGTCCTCTGCCTGAGAGACCACTGCTCTTAAAAGCTGTTCCATTTCTGCAGATCATGTTTATTTATTTTTGTGAGACAGTCTTGCTATGTAACTCGAGCTGACCTTGAATTTGTGGCGATTCCACTTTCAGTGTTCTCAAGTGCTGGGATTACAGGTTTGCATCACAACACCCAGCTCTGAAATCACTTTTTAACGAGAAGTGCTCATGACAGCTTTCTTCACTCTAGTTGTATAACCCTTAGAAGAATAATTTTAAGTCTGTACCCTCTGCATATTTTTAAATTGACATTTAAGTTTTCCATCATAAATTTAAATAGTTGCATAGGATGTCATTTCAAATATTGACATATTTAAATAAAACTGTTACATCAATTTTTAAATGTACCCAACAGACTATAAATACAAATTTTAAATGTCATTTACTTTATAAAGAAAGGAATAAGCTCTTCACAAACTATAATAATTTTGTTTTTACTTAAAATATGAAATGCCTTTATGTGAAGGTTCTGGAAAATGAGGTAATTGTAACTGGCATGCAGGCTGACACAACCTTGATTGGTAGACATGCATCCTGGGCATTTGGAATAAACCTCTTTCAGCACACTGTGGGCCCCAAGCATTTTGTCAGCCTGTTGCATTTCTCCCACACAAAAACTTCCTCACTACCCCCAACACCAATAGACTATAATAATCTATCAGAAACATCCTTTAAACACCTTAGAAACAACCACCAAACCTATTGTACTGGAAACTACCTTCAATGCAGTCATTACCACAAAGTACCGCATTGTGTGAGGTCCTTTGGTAGCCCATCCTTTTATTCCAAAATTCTGATCCAAAGGGACTTAATTGCATATAGGCAATATTGGTGTAAACAACCAAAATACTAACATCAGGGCATCCGGCCTCACTGGCTTCAGTCAGTAATTTTTGTTCTGTGTTTGGAAATGAGGAAGCTGATCACTGGGACTTTATAGATAGACTTCTATGGCCCAAGGTCATCCCAGACCAGGGATTTTGCAACTGGAGTTGAGGCCCAAGGTATAAGATAGTGGCACATTGGCCCAGTGATCTCCAAGGGACCAAAAATCCTCAGTGGATTTGCGGTAGCCTTTGATGGTAGCTTTTCTGCTACTACTTTGGGAAATAACCACATTGAGAGGGAACACAGGACAGAAAAATAGTGTCTATTGAAGCCTGGTGCCAGGAAGGTAAATTGTATATAGTGTTGATACCTATAAAACTATATCGCCTGGCGGCAGAGGCAGGCGGATCTCTGTGAGTTCGAGACCAGCCTGGTCTACAAGAGCTGGTTCCAGGACAGACTCCAAAGCCTCAGAGAAACCCTGTCTCGAAAAACCCAGAAAAAAAAAAAAAATCCTTCCTAGGCCCCACATAACAACTTACTAAACTTGTCTACTATTGTAAGGTTACAGGGTTTTTTGTCTTGTTTTTTTGTTTGTTTGTTTATGTGTGGAGGGATATACCATGGCACACATGTAGAGGTCGGAGGACAAGTTGCTAGAGTTGTTTTTGTCTTTCTACCATGTATGCTCCAGAGATCAAACTGAGGTCAGCAGGCTTGGTGTAAGAAAGCTCTATGCTTGCTGGGCTGTCTCACTGGCCACACGTGGAGATTTCTGTCTTAAACGTAAAATTGTAGAAACCCTATTAGCTGTATAGATTCGACTAACAGTGGATAGGATGATTGTAGTGAGCATGTGTTTTTTATAAACATGCGGTTTTTTTATAAATGTATTTTTAAAATCTGTAATTTTATGTGTTTTGCCTCCATGTCTGTCTGTGCATCATGTGCATAAAGTGGCCATGGCCAGCAGAGGGCATCAGATCCCTTGGTACTAGAGTTACAGACGGTTGTGAGCCTCTGTGTGGTGTTGGAAGCCAAACCTGCAAGAGCAGTGTTCTTAACCACTGAGCCATCTCTCCAGTCCCAACATGTATGTGTTTGCTCAACCTCTTCCTTTGCAGAATTCTAGGTAGTTGTAGTAATTCCACTTCCATCTCCTTCTGGGAGTCTGGCCTGTACAGTCAGACTACATTTTATTTCCTTGGGTGTGGTAACTATCCAACCCTAGTCATAAGCTACAAACAAGTCAGTAAAGGTCCCTCCCTGACACTGGTTTGTAAATAGTGGGGGAGAAGCCTGAGGTGGGGATACTTGATTCTGGCACTCATGGCCTGCAGGGAGAACAAAAGCAGAGGATAGGCGCAGGGAGGCCAGAGTCAGGGGCACAAACTGCAGACCACAACCCAGTTCATCCAGCTCCTTCTCTCCCCACTTCACCGACTTCAGTTTTTTTCTTAGACTTGTGTTTTTTTTTTTTTTTCTTACTGAAATACTTTTATTGTTGCTGGGTGGTGGTGGCATACACTTTTAATTCCAACACTCAGAAGATAGAGGCAGGTGGATCTCCATGAGTTTGAGACCAGCCTGGTCTACAAGAGCTAGTTCCAGGACAGACTCCAAAGCCACAGAGAAACGCTGTCTTGAAAAACCAAAAAAAAAAAACCAAAAACCAAAAAACAAAAAAAAATTATTGCCTACTAACAAAAGGAAACTCAAATATCTTTTGACAAGTAAAAGGAATAACTTTACATTTTTATCTTTTGTAGATTGTTGGACCTTCGGATGGAAGTAGTTACATCATTGACTATTATGGAACCAGACTTACAAGACTCAGCATTACTAATGAAACGTTTAGAAAAACACAGTTGTATCCATAAATGTTTACAAAGAGGAACAGTAAGTGGTATAACTCTCTATCTCCATATGTCACCTGACTTCTGTGTTTCTCATGGGCTTGTGAGATGGTGGGACCATAGGAAGACTGCAGCGATCACTTAGTGCTCTAACCCTTTCCCTCCTGTGTCAGCGCATTCAGGTCCACGTGTGTGAGTGTCCCCAGCCCACTGACCGCAGCCATGCTGCTCAAGCTCTTGCACTTTCCTATGCAGACTCCTTGTTTGCAGAGAATATGGTTTCACTGGGAAAATACTGTATGGTGGTTACGGTGGGGTGTGCTGTAGGTGCTTCTGTGTGAAGTGCTTTCTGGTATCCATCTCTCTGGAACCAAGGTAGTCTTGTGTTTGATTTTTGATTTGGTTTTCAGAAGTGGTTTTCTTCTTCTTTTTTTAATAATGTATTCTTTGACAATTTCGCATGTGTATATCTGTTCTTTGACAATTTCCCACGTGTATATCTGTTCTGGTCTTGTCACACTCACCTCCCCACCCTCTCTTATCTATTTCTCATCTCCACTGATCCTCCTCCCTCTTCCTAACTGGTTCCCCTCCCATTATCCTGTCTTTTTGCTTTTGTTTTGTGACACAATGGATGAGGCTGTACCCACTGGGACAGGGCATTATCACCAGTGACTACACTGCTGAGGACAAAGACTCCCCCATCCATCCCATCAGCCACCAACTGCCAATAACTCTCTGGGCAAGTGCTGCTTCTCCCGTGACTAAATGTTGATGGCCCTGTTTCTCTTCCAAGTGCGCTTCTGAGCTCCATCTCCACCCTGTTTCTTGGTTTTTCAGATAGCTAGCAGTAGATAGTTTACAGTGACCTAGAACTTGCTGTGTTGTCTGCCATGGCCTGAAAGTCCAGGCCCTCTTCTTTGCACCTACCAAATGCTAAGATTGTAGGCATGTACTAACATGTCTAATATTAATAGGACTTTTAACCTTCCCTTTCTTCTTCCTTAAATCCCAAAGCTAGAACATCCAAACCCTCACTACCTACTAGAGATTGGCTCTACTCATGAGGTTACTACCCGGTTTCAGTTTTTAATAGGTCTACTGACTAGAATGAGATGTACTGCAGTCTTCATGGTTAGATGACTGTTACTACAAAGATTTAGTCCATTTACTATGTTAGTCTAGTTAATAATTTTCCAATGCTGTCTGCTTTTCCTCAGAGGGACATGGGTAGGTCAGCAAAGCCGTTTCCTGGTTCATTCCATCCTCTATAATGAGAAGTCTTGTAAAGCATGAGGGTAGCATGTATGGTACTTTTTATATTAAAGCCCACCTTCACCTGTCCATTTACTCTCAGACAGGCTGAAGAAAGGCAGGTTAGATGTCCAGACCACCATAGAACTCCATCTCAGAGACTTGCTCTAGAGGTCAGGAAGTGAAAAGACATTGTTCTGTGTGTTGTGGTGTATAAATAGAATATAACACATAAGTTTGCCCCATAGGTAGATTAATTTTCTTACATTGAAATTATTAAGTATATATTATTGTTATAGGATTGAATAGTAACCATCCTGGCAAAATACAAAACTAATTGTCCAAAAAGTTTCCAAATTTCTCTATATAGTCTTAGGCTGGTCTGAAACTTACTATATGGCCCAGGCTAGCCTCAAACTCTTCATTCTCCTGTCCCAGCTTCCAAATCCTTTCTTACAGAGCATAAAGTGCTCTCCCAAAGGACTTGAATTTACTTCCCAGTAGCAATTTGGGTGGTTCACAGCTGCCCATAGCTCTACTCCAGGATTTCCAGTACCCTCTTCTGACTCTTAGAGTAGCTGTACTTGCATGAACACCTCACCCCACACACATATAAATACATAATTAAAAAATAAAAGAAAAATTTAAACAATGCTTTATAAATAGGAGTTGTTGTTTTATTTTTCTAACATTTAGAGTGTGTGCGCAAAAATGCACAAGCTTACAGTGTATACCTGTGGAAGTCTGTTCTCTCCTTCCGGCATGTGCATTCTGGAGATTGAACTCATCAGGCTTGGTGGTAAACAGCTTTTCCCACGGAGCTCACCCTCCTTGTGATCTTTTTTATACCATATAAAGGTATCGTAAGAGTAAGGAAAAAAATATCTTGAGCAGGCAAAGTGTTCAAGTGTCTATCCTGAGCTAGGAACTGGCTGGGTGGTGGAGCACTGCCTAGAGTGCATGAGGCCCATGTGTCTGTGTAACCTATGGCAACATTGTTTAACTTCCTTTTCCTTTTTTGTTTCAGGATTTGAACCTTCTTGATTTCAATAGTGAGCCCCTTATGTGGAATTCCAGATTTTCCTTTTCTTTAAGTACTATTTTATGCATTCTGGATGATGTTTTGGTGTGTGCTCAATTTTGATTTGTTGATTTAGTTAATATTATTCCTAGATTTATTTAATAGTCTTTCTTAAAAATTATTATAATAGTATTTCATGGGTTTCTGTCTCCATGAGACAGCTAGCCTATTACTCTGTTACTATTATTGTATTACTGTACTGTCCTTTACATGTCACTTGTCATTTTTATTTGTGAAGAATAAAAACTATAATTTATTCACATTTATTAAGAAAACCTTCTATCATCAAATTGCGCTGTCTTCCATGTTGTGATCCTTTGAAGCGGGTAATTCATGGTGTGAACAAACAGGACTCATACTGTTTGGGGCTGCCATGTCCTGTGTGTCAGCCCACCTGAGGTGCTTCAGCCTTTAGTTCTGTGTTATATGATATCCTGGAGCTAAAGATCATCAGTACGTGGGATATGAAATGTGAACTTTGTCTTTTTTGCTTGGAGAGTGATACAGCAGCTATGGAAGGCCAGGTGTGACTACTCCACCCGAAGTTACAGCTGACACTGGGTGGACTGGGTGGGAACACCAACCAGATGATCACTGTCTGCCATCTGTGAGCACTGCCAGGCAGGTGCCAGCACACTAGGGTCTGAAGGAAGCAACTCCTATTTTTTAGCATCTGGTTTTCTTACTGTGTTAGAGGGGCTTTCAGAAGAGGAAAATCAGCAGGTTGGTGGTGACACACACCTTTAATCCCAGCACTCAGAGGTAGAGGCAAGGGATTTCTGAGTTAGAGGCCAGTGTTGTCTACAGAGTGAGTTCTGGGACAGCCAGGACTACACAGAGAAACCCTGTCTCAAAAAACAAAAACAAAAAGATGAAATCTTCAAAATGTAAGGTCTCCGAAATACTGCCCAAAATACTGTCTAGCCTTCTTTGGTAGTAGACATGCCAACTTAAAAATTAATAGGTACATTAACATCATAGGTACGATTAACATCATAGTCCTTGAATTGTGTATAACTTATACATTGAGGCACATATAAGTACAATTTACTTCCCAACAGTCAGAGGTGAAACAGTTACCTTGATTCCTGCATGAGGGTGTAGTCATTAACTGGACTGGGAGAGCAAATGCTTTTCATTTTTTTAAAAGGCAGAATCTCATACCTAGGCTGTCCCTGAACCCACTGTGTAGTCCAGGATGACCTTGAAGGTACAATACTCCTGCCTCCACCTCCCAAGTGCTGGGATGATCATATCTACCATCATACCCAGTTTTAAGTGGTGCTAGGGATCAAACCCAGGTCTTCATGTATGATAGACAAGTACTCCACTTGCCTAGCTGCATCCCTCGGCCCCAAAGCAGGTACTTCTCAAAGTGTCTATTCATACACACTGTATTACAAAAGAGTTGTTGACTTTGTTTTCAGTGTAATTTCCACTACAAGAACACTTTGTCTAGTTCTCTATTGCATTATACATGTAATGTGTTAACAGATGTTTCTTCTGTTACTTGATTTTGTTTTTTTTTTATTTTTTATTTGAATTAGAAACAAGATTGTTTTACATGTCAATTCCAATTCCCTCTCCCTCCCCTCCTCCCCCGTTACTGTTTTTTTTTATTCTATTCTGAGTTTTTCCTTTTGTCAAGCATTATTTCATCATGATCATTTATTGGTATCTATGGATTTTATATGATTACCCATGCTTTTAAAGTAGTGGGAGAATTGTTAGGTGGATTAGCTCAGTCATTCTAGAAGTTTACTCCTCAGCCCTGGGGGTAAATGGAATGGACCCTTTCGGTCCTGCAGAAACATGTAGTGCCCTATGGTGGTCATTTACAGATGCACCTGAAAGGGTTAATGCTGCAACCTAGACACTTGGTTATAGTCCCAGCTTTTGCTTCTCTTGTAGAAGGCCAGATCTTAGGTAGTTTATAAGAAACAGAGGTCACGTTTTTTTTTTTTTTTTCAGTGCTGGAGACTTGGAAATTGAACATTGAGGTGCTGGGCTGTATCATAACATGGCAGGGAAAGATCAAGCAAGTGAACTCAGGTCTCCCTCTCACCGTCCTGGCTTCACAATCCCTACTATGCCCCAAAGGCTCCACCCATACAGTACCATCAGTATGTGAGTTCGGGGACAAATTAAAATGATAGAGCCACATAGATAAACTAAAGCACCTTTTAGAGGTGTCACAAAAAGTTTTAGATCTCAGTCATCATTTGTTCAGGGGTCCACAAAGTCCCTAAGAAATATAAATTTATGGGTATGGTTTGCTTTACACAGAAAATTTTTCTCCCTCCCTCCCTCCCTCCCTCCCCCTTTCATCCTGCCCTCCTTTGTCTCCTCCCAGTGTTGGGGATCTACCAGGGCCTTGTGCATGCTAAGTGTGCCTCTGAGCTACGTCCTTATGCCTCCTCCCCTTATTTTAATCTAAATGCATAACAATTATGTCAAGTAGTATATTTGCTAGGCACCCAGAAAGCTAAAGAATCTATTTTGGTTTCTTTAGGAATTTTTTTATTGTATTATACTGAGTTACTGAAGGCCATCTTCATGCAAGTATGCAAAGTGCTTTGAGCATATCCCCCCACAACCACTGCCCTCCCGGCTTCACTCCCTTGCATTAGTTTCCTTTGTTCCTCTAGTCCAGTGGTTCTTGACCTTCCTAGTGCTGAGACCCTTTAATGCAGTTCCTCATGTTGTGCTGACCTCCAACCATAAAATTTCCATTGCTACTCCATAACTGTAATTTCCCTACTGTTATGATTATAATGTAAATAGCTGTTTTCTGATGGTCTTAGGTGACCCCTGTGAAAGGGTTATTTGACCTGGGGGTCTTGACCCCCAGGTTGAGAAACAGCTGCTCTAAATGGTGTCTTGTCTACTTTTGTGTCATCTGTACATAGGAGAAAATGTGAGATCTGATTTTTCTGAGTTTTAGTTTGTGTTCTATGATGGTCTCCAGTTTCATCCATTTTCCTGTAAATGGCACAACCTCATTCTTCTCTAAATTTAATCTTTGTGTGTGCTGTGTTTACATGTGTGGTGTGTCCATGTTGGTGTGTGGACACCACGTGCACGTAGAGGAGAGAGTAAGATGCTGTGTGTTCTGTATTGCTCCCCATTGTTTTGCGTTGAGACGGGCTCTCACTGAAGCAGAAGCTCACTGTTTTGGCTAGGACTTTGGCCACATAGTGACATGTCAAAGAATCTACTCATCTTTGCCCCCAGTGTTGGGGCTGAGGGCACTCACATCTCTGTCCAGCTCTGCTAGCCGTTCCAGGGCAGGTCCTTGTACTCACAGAGGAAGCCCTCCTACTCACTGGGCCATCTCTTCAGCCTCTCATTCCTCATGGTTGAAAAGATCCCACATTTTCCTTCTCTACTTCTTTGGTTATATACACATAGGCTGGTTCCCAAATTCAGATGTTGTAAACCTTGCTGCAATAAAATGGGTATGCACTTTGCCCTGTGATTTGCTGACTTGGCATTTTTTAGTAATACTTGGGAGTGGTATAGCTGAGTCAAATGGCAGGTCTATTTCTAGTTTGTGGGGAATCTCCATATTGATATCCACAGTAGACTTTTTTATATTCCCAACAGTGGGCAAGGGCTCCGTTTTGTTCACATCCTTGCCAGCATTAGTTATTTATTTTCTTAATGGCTGCCAAAATATCTAATAGCAAGAAACAGGCAAGGAAGAAAAAAATTAGTTCTGAAAATCCAGGCCTCTCTTTCAGAAGGGGCATGCCCAGGGCTGCCCTGTGTTCCTTCCCTCTCCCCTCATTAGCCATAGCCCTTGTGCTTTTTCTTGTTTGCAGAACTGACACATATCTGATGAAGAACTTTTGGAAAACACCAAAAAGTATGAAGAAAATAAAAACTGTTTCTGCTCGTTTCTATGCATGCTTATACATTTTCCTCACAGAGATGATACGCTATGCACACATGACGGCTTCATGTTGTAAAGATTTTTTCTATCTCAATAAATATTGTCTAATTTGTAAATTACATTTATTTCTATTTATATATAAATAAAAATTATTTGCATTTGTTACATTTATCCTGCATATGTGTGTGTGTGTGTTGGGTGTATGCTATTGCTTACATGTGGAGGTCAAATCACAACTTGCAGGAATTACTTCCCCCTTGCCACCATGGGGATCTGGGATCAAACTCAGCCTATCAGGCTTGGCAACAAATGCCTTTACCCACTCACAGAATCATCTCACAGCCCTCAATAAAGAAATATTCTTTTCTTTTTTCTTTTTGGTCCAGACAGCATCTTACTATTTAGCCCTAGCTGGCCTGCAGCTCTATGATGTAGACCAGACCAACCTTAAACTCACAGTGATCTACCTGCCTTTGCTTCCAGGTTGCTTGGATTGGAAGCATATGCCACCATGATTGGCCACAAAGTTAATTGCTGTAGAATATTCTATGCCTTTGCCAAATTTATGCAATCCTTTATCACTTCATCCTATCAATGTTGACCTGTTATGACTTTTGCCCTAGATTTGGAATCTACCTGTCTTAGTAAGGGTTTCTATCACTGCAATGAAGCACTACAACCAAAAAGCAAGTTGGGGAGGTGGGCAGTGGTGGCATACACCTTTAATCCCAGCATTCTGGAGGCAGAGGCAGCTGGATCTCTGTGAGTTCATAGACCAGCCTGGTCTACAATAGCTAGTTCCAGGACAACCTCCAAAGCCACAAAGAAACCCTGTCTGGAAAAACAAAACAACAACAACAACAAAAAAGCAAGTTGGGAAGGAAAGGGTTTATTTGGCTTACACTTGCGTATTGCTATTTATCATTAAAGGAAGTCAGGACAGGAACTCAAGCAGTGCAGGAACTGGAGTCAGGAGCTGATGCAGAGACCACAGAGGAGTACCGCTTACTGGCTTGCTTCCCATTTCTTGCTTAACCTGCTTTCTTACAGAACCAAGGTTCACCAACCCAGGGATGGCACCACCATAATGGGCTGGGCCCTCCCCCATTGATCACTAATTAAGAAAATGCCCTACATCTGGATTTTATGGACGCATCTTCTCAATTGAGGTTCCCTCTTCAAATAATTTGTGGGTCAAGTTGACATAAGACTAGCTACCACATTACCTCAGGTTGCTGGGCTTGCAGGACAAACAAATGCCTTCACACAGAGTTGTTCACAAGCCCAGGTTTTGTTTTGTTTAAAACTCCTGTGCAGTAAGTATCAGTTAAACAGGGTAATGAAGAAGAAATGAAGTCTAATAGTCCAAACCCAAGTTAA